AGTCACAGTGATCCTCCTGTTTTCAGCCTCCCCAGTGCTGGGATTACAGGTGTGCACCACCACACCCAGACTCGGTAGCTGGCTCAGTGGGCCCGGGGGCTGCCCTGGTATGCTTTTGGTGCCAAGGATTGAACCCTGTTCCCTGTGCTTGCCTGGGCAGGCGCTTAGTCCGCCGAGCCACCTCACCGGCCCACAGCCCAAGTCTACCAGGCATGCACTATGAACTCCACTGCGACAGGCCCGGGCAGTGGGGTCCCAGAACTGGGCCTGGAGCTAACTGGGGTGAGGGGGAGAGCGCAGGGCTGCCTGCCAGCAGTGTTTGCTTCTCTGTGAGCCCTTAGCACCCAGCAGACCCGCTGTGGTTCCGCTGCCCACAACTCCAACTGACCAGCGGAGGAGCAGGCAGGCAGGTGGTATTCTCAGAACTGCGCTGACTTCCAGTGTCCATCTTGCTATTTTTATCAGAATTCATCATTTTTACATTAATCCAATTAGCGTCCTGTTTACCGAGGCCTCATTCTTTAATTTGCAGCTTTATCCTGGAAGCTCAGTGACACTTTCGCAACTCCGTCCCTCCTCCCTCATTACTGCCAAATAATTAGTCATGGAGCCTCCCTGATCAAAAATTAAGGAGCCGGCAGCAAGCTGGAGCACGCCCTACTCCAAGAGGGGCAGATGACAGGAGGCTTCTCTAATTAGGAGGGATTGTTGACAGTCAGGGACCAGGAGGCACAGGATGCAGTGGTGAGATCTCAGCTTATCCTGGAGTTTGTGTCTCCAAACCCCAAGGCGACACTAGCAGGGCCTTGCCCCTGTAGTATGGGCCATGGCGCCCACCCTGAGGACCCCACAAGCCCAGAGGCCAGGGCAGGGCCTGCGCCGCCTGTGGGGCACCCCCCTGTGGTGAGACCCTTCTCTCCCACCTCTGCAGCCTCCAAAGCACCCACCACCCCCAGACAGGCATACAGGACCCACCCTGGGGCCTGGGCTACTCTCCCGGTCCTGACACTGGTCAGCACCACCCCACCCCGCAGCTGAGACAGGAGCTGCCAGGTGTGCCCCGTGGACAGCCCTTGCCACCCTTGCCAGCTGGGCTCCCTGATGTGAGCTTCCAGCTCTTGCCAAGTTCTAGAAGGAGGCGAGCCACAAAGTCACTGCCAAAGTCTTAGAAATGCTCGGAACTGCAAAAATGTCTTCCTGTCCTTTTTATTTTATTTTGCTTGTGTTTTTGAGACAGGGTCTTGTTCTGCAATTCAGGCTGCCCTTCAGCCCACTTTGTAGCCCGGGATGGCCTGAAACTTGCAATGATCTTCCTGCCTCAGCCTCCTGCGTGCTGACACTACAGCCTGCACCACCACGCCTGGCTGCAAGGGCATTTCTGATCAATAAATTCTTTGTTCACGCCAGGTCCCAGCTGAAGGTGAGAAGGTCTTCAGTGTGCTTCCTTTCCGAGTACTGCTGGGCCTTGTCCTAGGGATAGGAGCCCTGTGCCTTCCCATCTAAGACCTAATCAGTGACCGCACGTGTGTGTATAAAACAGAGAGACAAAAGCCTGGAAAGGCACAGAAGGGGTGTGCCCACCTGAGGGGCACAAAGACAGGCAGGTGTCGCCCCAGGAGGAACGACTCCCCAGTTAGCAGGGCTCCCCAGTGCTCCTGCCTCGGGCCTGCACCTCCAAGCAGCAGGGCAGCAATTAGAGCCCGTGCCACTCCTGGGGGTGGTGTTGCCACCTACTACCGCAACCCTGGCAGGATGGGGAGGCACGTGGTGA